TTCTTCATCCCGGGTGCCGGATCTGGAGCCTCATCCCTGGAGCCTGGCCTTGTGGAAGAAGCAGGATACAGTATGGGCTCTCATGTGAATGGGCTCTCACTGCTGAGTCCCCAATTATGCATTGCCACACCATGCTGCTGGGCAAACTCACAGAGCATGAAATTGCTGGTGGCTCCTGACTTTTTAATGTTCACAGTTGTACTCTGTGTCCATCTGGGAACTGTAGCGTCACACGCGAGCTGAGACCATGAATAGCCAGTGGTGGTAGAGGCGCAGTGTTGTCCCAGAGGATACATATGGGAAATGCCAGGGAACCCAGAAGTTTGAACTGACAGATCCTGGCTTCTGTCTTTCAGCAGGACTCAGGGACCACCCTGGACCCTCAGCCTTTCGCTGTTGCCTCCTTGCCTCAATTAAAGAGCTTAAGGAGCCTCTTTTCAAAGGGTCACGCGCAGTGATGGTGCAAAGAAATAATACAAAATAAATCTCACTACGCTCCTGCCCTGTGCATGCTAAAGCCTGCTAGAGACGTTTCCCTTGAAACCATAGGCTGTGTACCCACCACACCTTTGGGGCTCATCCCCACTTCCCCTTGGGTCGTGTGCCCAGCAATCTCAGGTGTGTTAACAGATTTGCTCTTTGCTAGACGGGCCAGCCTGGTTTGCAAAAGTCAGCCCAGGAATTCCTTGTCTGGCAAGATTGTGCAGCCTGTACTTTCCATTGATATCCCAATTAAATCAAAATTCTACCTTTTGTGTATTTCTGGGGTTTGGGGGGGGGTCTCTGGCAAATGTATAACACTATTTTGCCTGCACAGTTTTAATGACACTATTGATGTGAACCTGATGCATGATTTATAAAGTAAATAAAGCTTATTTTTAAAGTTCCCATGTTGATGCCTGATTATTTCTTAAAGTGGGGCAAAGGGAAGAAGGCAGCTAGCTTCATGGCTGGACGTGCTCAAAAGAAGGTTTTGCAGCCAGATTCCTATCCTTTAAGTTTCCTGTCAAGGATGGAATTTTAAAATTCTGTTTTTAAAGAACCAGGTGGCAACCCCTTCTTCAGGTATAACAGGACCCACACTGTGAATGTGCTCACCAAATGTACCGGGAGCCACTGTAGATCCTTTAGGACCAGTGGTTCTGTGGTCCCGCAGCTGCTCCCAGTCCCCAGTCTAGCTGTCGCTACATCTGCTGGCTCCTCTCAGATACACCTGAGCCAATCTGATCTGAGGGGAATCCCTTCCTATCTCCAATATATGGTCTTCTGTTAGAGCTTGAGCAGGACAAACCCATTTCCCCAGGCGTCCCCCTTGAAGGAAGCACAATCTGAGACCCTTCAAACCCAACGGTTTTTCCATTTCCAAGGCACGGGGGTCCCTCCCCAACTCAAGAACTGGGCATCTGAGCTCTCCACAGATCTCTGCTAATGGGAGCTGTTCCCAGAGCGCCTAACAAACTACAGTCCCAGGATCTTTGGGGGGAAGACATCTGCTTTTTAGAACAGGCGCTTCAGGTTACAGACTCCACTAACCCAGAAAAAGTACCTCGGGTTAAGAATTTTGCTTCAGGATGAGAACAGAAATCGCACAGTGGCAGTGGGAGGCCCCATTAGCTAAAGTGGTACCTCAGGTTAATGAACAGTTTCAGGTTAAGAATGGACCTCCAGAACAAATTAAGTCCTTAACCCAAGGTACCACTGTACTACTACTAATACTAATACTATTCTAGTTATTTGTACCCCGCCCCATCTTCCTGGGTTGCCCCAGCCACTCTGAGGTAGATGGAGCAATCTAAGGTCTAAATCCCCTTCCTGTGTTTCTGTTTGGGAGGGGCTGTGGCTCAGTGGCAGAGCATCTTCTGGGCACCCAGAAGGGCCTTGACTCAACTCCCTGCTTGGCTTCAGGTGTGGGGGATAAGAAGGGCCAGCTTGCAGGTTCGATCCCCTTCTGGCCACAGCTGCATTCTTCCTGCATTGCAGGGAGTTGGACTAGATGATCCTCAAGGTCCCTTCCAACTCCACAATTCTTGTATTCTAAGGATGCAAGAAGCATTGGCACTCCCACTGTGCTAACCCAACACAGGCACACAGAGAGACAGATTGAAGCTCGGCCATGGAGGGTTCAGTCACCAGAGGTGAATATGCAGGAAAGCGCCTGGCCCTTTGCCTGGCAGAAGACCTCACCCACTGGGCTGCATAGACAGCTGCCTCAGGAGCCAGATCCCAGGTACCGGGAGCTCCAGACTGCCTTCCTCTGGCCTGGCTGGCAGCAGCTCACCTGGGGATCAGAGTTTCCCAAGCCTCACCTGGGAGATGCTGAGGACTGACCCTGTGGCCTTCCACAGGCGCTGAGCTATGGCCTAAAAAGGCCCCTGGGTGGGTCAATCCTTGGTCTATCTAGGCCAGGCTGGGAGCAACTGCTACCTGCCACCCTTTAGAGAACCTGACGCCCAGCGTAAATTAATAACGCAGAGTCTTCTTCAGTAAAAGAATCAAAACTTTACTGAGTTAAAAATAAACTTATTTGCAAATAACAGCATAGTGAACAGAAGATTGAACTAGCTCCAGAGCATACACAGAGTTACTGAGTCACACAGAGGCATTATGCACCAACAGCCTCCATTGAGCACAGGCTTCCCAGAGCTCAGGCTCCATCGCACACTCTGAGTCTGCCTGCAAGCAGATACTGTACTTATACAGAGAAGGAGTCATCCTCAAGATGAGTCACAGTGATTCAGCATGCTAAACGATTCTGCAGCTTTTCAGCACTTCACAACACTTCTAGACTCCTTTACGGCTTTCTGCTCTCAAATACCTTTGTCACACGACAGAACCATTGACAGGCAGTTGACAGCTTGGATGAGCAGCCCAAGGCCCACAACCTAATTCTCTGCGTCGGGAATCGGCCAAAACGATTTCGTAGGATTGATCCCAAATGCATAAGGACTTTGTCAATCATCAACCCCATACGTTGATATCAGAAGAGCAACACAGTGAGCTTGGTTCTGCTCAGGGCCGTCTTAAGTATATCCGGCGCCATGGTGCAAAGATCCCTCCGGTGCCCTTTTTAGGGCACTGCTTCAGCGAGGCGGGGGAGGGCAACTGATGCCTGGAGTGCCACATCCAGCCTCCGCCTCTTCCCTGGCCCCTCCAGAACTTGGCGCCCTGGCGCCCGCGCCACTTGCCTCTATGGGCAAGATGCCCCTGTTTTGCTTACTCTTAATGGGGAGAGTTCTTGGTGTTTAGCACAACTGTGGGGCTGTGAAAATTTCACTCTGTGTGTTTCGTTCCCTTTTTGTTAGTTATTCCCATTCCAGAAGAAGAAGAATAAAGAATCATAGAATAGAATCATAGAGTTGGAAGAGACCACAAAGGGCCATCGAGTCCAAGATGCCATCAAGCAGGGAGGGAGGGGGTAAGAGAGAGTGTGGAATTCTGGGGGAGAGTGACGATTGGAGGAGGCTTTGAAAGGGAGTTTGAATGTTGGTGGGGAGGCAGTTGGGAGTCAGTTGAGAGTGGTGGGTTCTGGAGGGAGGAGGTCAGCTGGGGTGGGCAGCTCTTCAGCTTAGGATCAGTATGGGAGTCGTTTGATGGTGGCCAAAAAGGAACAGAGACACAGAGAGGGACTGTGAGTCTCCTGTGGAGACCGGGGAATGTGGCAGTCCCATGCCCAGCGAAGAGGGGCTCTGCCAGCTGCCCAGGAACAGAATAACCTCAATTTAGGAGGGCCACAGAGCCAGGGCTTGGCTTGTATTCCTAATGCCCGGGTGCCTCACACCACCCCCTCTAATTACCTGGAAAGCAGGTTTACAGACCTGGGATATGCCTGATTATCATCTTTCCAAGCAACTTAAAAATGTAATCCTGGTGGTCAACGAAAGAAGTTTAAAGACTCTCTCAAGGCAGATCTAAAAGAAATGTTATGTAAACAATTGGGAAACACTGGCGTGCGAGCGCTCCAATTAGAGAACAGCCTTTACCAACGGTGTCATGGACTTTGAAGATACTCGAACTCAGGACAAAAGGGAGAAACAAACCAGGAGGAAGGCACGCTTGGCAAACCCTCACCGTGATCAACTCCCACCTGGAAATCTATATCCCCACTGTGGAAGGACATGTGGATTCAGAGTTGGCCTCCATAGTCCATTATGAACTCACTGTTAAGATCGTGTTCATGGAAGACAATCTTACTTGGCTATGTGTGATTGCCAAAGATAAAGATGAGAGAAATTGGGGAGGCTATAGCCTTTTCTATGGACATGGACTTAATGGAAATTCCTCATGGGAAGATGCCTTGCCTGTCCATGCTCCCCCAATGTCCGGTTGGTCCAACACTTCCACCATTGTGCTCCCCAAAGGGCGTCACCCATCCGGCAGGTGGAGGGCACCTTGGGAGGGGGATAGTGTCATGGGGCAGGAATCAGCTTCACCTGCTGAACAGCAGCCTGAGGGGGAGAAGGGGGAGTGACTTCCCCTGCAGCTTCAAGGACTCAAGGACTTCCCCTGCAGCTTCATTCTCATGAAGCGTGGCCCTGTGGAGGAAGAAGGACTTGGTATCCTCCTGGCAGACGTGGGGAATGGATGCCCAATGCCCCTGCCCTGACATTGCTCCCCAAGAAAGCTTGGCCCACCCACTTCAAGACAAGAGCATCTCCTTTCTGCAGGAAGGTTCTTCTCCCATTCTCTGTTGACACTCAACTTGGAGGGTGTTCTCCCAGCCCTTCCTCTTTCTTGTTCTTTTTATGGGAGGCTTTGGCAGCAGCCACAGCGGTGCAGACAGGAGATCCTGGAAGAAAGAAGGGATCTTTGAAGCAGGAGAGAACTGGACACTAAGGGCTTCTTTGAGGGAAGAATCACTGGACGTGTGAATGGGCTGTCACAGGCCCATGACAGTTTTATTGATTTATTATGCTGTAAACCGCTTTGAGATTTTTACTACAAATATAAAGCGGTATAGAAATTAAAATAAATAAATAAATATGTGGGAAATGGATTCCCCAAGGAATTAACATACCACAATCTCCAGGGAGATTTGTTTATGCTGATGCCTTCCTGCCTGAGAACCTGTGAGACAGAAAGGAAAATAAAAACAGAGGAAGTTACCAACTAGTAATTCACAACAGAAAATATCATCTGGGGACCACAGCTGAGGACCTGCCAAGCTATCAACATCTGTGGGCAAGGCAAGCCAGGGAGCCAAACTGGGCCGGGATGGAGCCATGCCCGTACGGAGAAGGGGCAGTGGGGATGCGCCGCGAGGGACGTCAGCCGGGAACCGCTGGGATGTTGTTCGGTTCTTCATTCCGGTAGCCGGAGCTGGTGCCTCGTCCCTGGAGGCGTGGCCCTGTGGAGGAAGGGGGACATCACATGAGAATGGGCTGTGAATGGCCAAAAACTACTGATAGAACATCAACTCAGACGCACTTTCACCAACCCGAGCCGTATCTGGCACATGTGGGGAATGGATTCCCCATGGAATTAACATACCACATCTTCCATGGCCGTCACCCCTTTGTCCATTTGGGCCCTGCGGTACAGTAGCCTCTTAGGACCTGGGAGACAGAAAGGAAAATACACCTCACCACTGGCTGCCAATGATCGCTGCTCCTGCCTGGGCGCCTGACCCCTGGCTTGGAAGGAGGGGGCGAGGGGGTGGTGCAAGACCGGCCTGAAACACCCCAACCCAGCCCTGTTTCACGCAGGTTGGGGCCACAACCTTCCTGCACATGTGGGAATGGATTCCCCATGGAATTAACATACCACGACTTCCAGTGATTCCTGGCGCCACAACCGCTGCATCGTCCTTCCTTTCTGAGAAGCTGTGAGACAGGAAGGAAAATGAAAACAGAGGAAGAAGTTACAGGTGGGAAATGTCCGGGAATCCCAAAGTCTAAACTCAGAAACCCTGGCTTATGTCTCGCAGGACGACTCAGGATCCAGCCTCGACCTCAACCTTTCTCTCGTCCCTCCCTGTGTCATATTAAAGATTGTAAGCCTCTCGGGGCAGGAACTTTTTTTTACTTGCAATTGGTAAGATGACATGGAAACACTTCCCCTGCCACAGAAGGTCACAGCATACCTCCGAATTTCACTGGGTTTCCCAGCACCGCTGGGCTGCTGGAGGTTTTCCCAATCCACAGCCCTGCGAAGGAAGAAGGACATTGTACTCCCTAGTGGACAGTGGTCCCATGGGCCATCCCCAATGATTTCCTTCTGGGGCACATTGCCCTCAATATTTTCTCCCCCCCCCCAGGCTGCCTTCCCAGCTCCCTCCCTTCCTCACTCTTCCTTCTTTCCTTCTCCTGTTTGGCACAGAGGAGCCCGGCAGCAGCCCATGGGCAGGCAAGCCAGTGGAGGCAGGGCCTTCCTGCGGTGGAGACATAGGGCCCCCGGGGGGAGCAGCCCCCAAACTTCTGCAGTGACAGCCTGAGCGCTGGCGAGGTGAACCAGGGAAGGAGGGGGACAGAACAAGCACCCCTGCCATGCTGCCCATGCCCACGTCACCACTGGCTGCCAACCATCGCTGCTCCTGCCTGGGCACATAATGACCAGACCCCTGGCTTGGAAGGAGGGGGCAAGGGGCTGGGGAGAGACAGGCCTGCTCCCCCCCCCCCCACTCCAGCACTCAATTGGCATTTCCCCCTGCCTGAACTCTGAGCCTTTCCACACTTTGCCTCCCTATGGGGGTCTTTGTCCTTCCCTCTATCCCATTAGCTCTGGGGTGAGAGGCCTTTGTCTGGGCTCCAGTCCCTCCCGGGATGCAGCGGCTCCCAGGCTGAACCTTCTCCTCGCTGCAAAACAAACGGAGACATCAGCAGGCACCTGGCTCCCAGCCACGCTAGCCCCAGTATGGGGCAGGAGTGGGGGACCTGGGAAGGGGGCATTTCCTCCTACCTGATCTTATTAGCTGCCCCAACCTGAACTCCTCCGTACGGGTGTCTGGGCTCCGTCCCGGCCGGCTTGGCACAGAGGCAGCAACCCAAGTCTCCCCCGGCTCCGGAATAACTCTGGAGGTGTTCTTGATGGGGGGAAACCTTGGCTCCTCTTTCTGCGCCAAGTAGGACCGGGAAGGAGCCATGCCCGCACGGAGAACGGACGGAGGGTGAGGCAGGCGAGGGTCAGGGGCCGGGAACCACCATGATGGTCTGTTGTTCTTCGTCCCAGGAGCAGGCGCTGGAGCCTCATCCCTGGAGGTGTGGCCCTGTGGAGGAAGCAGGGCATCATGTGAGAATGGGCCTCAGATGGGCCAAAAACTATGGAAGGACCCCTTTGTTCCCTCTGCCCCAGTACCTGAGGGTCGTCACATCTCTCCAGGGATTTGACCAGAACAAAGTATATGTTGGGGAAAGGCTCCCTCCCTGCAAAGAAAACGGAGACATCAGCAGGTGCCCAGCTCCCAGCCACGCTAGCCCAGTCTGGGGCAGGGGGGGGGGACCTGGGAAGGGGGCATTTCCTCCTACCTGATCTTAGAAGGGCTCCCCACTTCTCCACCGTACGGGCGTCCGACCAGCCTAGCACAGAAGCAGCAGCCAAAGTCTCCTCTCTCTCAGAAATCACCCGAGAAGCTGTTTTAATGGGAGGAAACTTTGGCTGCTGCTTCTGTGCCAAACCGGGCCGGGAAGGAGCCATGTCCGTACGGAGGAGGGGCAGTGGGGATGCGCCGCGAGGGACGTCAGCCGGGAACCGCCGGGATGTTGTTCGGTTCTTCATTCCGGGAGCCGGCGCTGGAGCCTCATCCCTGGAGGCGTGGCCCTGTGGAGGAAGCGGGACATCACATGAGAATGGAAGCCACAGGTGGGACTCCCAAAACATGTTCCACAAAGATCCCTTCATTCCCTCTGCCCTCGTACCTGATGTTCACCACGTCTCTCCAGGGATTTGGCCAGAACAGAATATGTGTTGGGGAAAGGCTCCCACACTGCAAAGGGAAAAAAAAAACATGAGCAGGCGCCTGTCTCCCTGCCATGCTAGCCCCAGTCTGGGGCAGGAGGGTGGGGACAAGGGAAGGGGCATTTCCTCCAACCTGATCTTATAAGGGCTCCCCACTTCTCCATACGGCCGTTCGACTGGCCTAGCACAGAAGCAGCAGCCAAAGTCTCCTCCCTCTCAGAAATCATCCGAGAAGCTGTTTTAATGGGAGGAAACTTTGGCTGCTGCTTCTGCGCCAAACGGCCGGGATGGAGCCATGCCCACACGGAGAAGGGGCAGTGGGGATGCGCCGCGAGGGATGTCAGCCGGGAACCGCCAGGATGCTCTCTCGCCCTTCATCCCGGGAGCTGGAGCTGGAGCCTCATCCCTGGAGCCTGGCTCTGTGGAGGAAGCAGGATTCAGTATGTGAGCCAAAGCCCGCTAGAGACCTTTCCCTTGAAACCATAGGCTGTGTACCCACCATACCTTTGGGGCTCATCCCCACATTCCCTTGGGTCATATGTCCAGCAATCTCAGGTGTGTTAACAGATTTGCTCTTTGCTAGACCACCCAGCCTGGTTTGCAGAAGTCAGCCCAGGAATTCCTTGTCTGGCACAGTTGTGCAGCCTGTACTTTCATTGATATCCCAATTTATCAAATTTCTACCTTTTGTGTATTTCTGGGGTTTGTGGAGGGGGTCTCCGGCAAATGTATAACACTATTTTGCCTGCACAGTTTTTAATGCCACTATTGATGTGAAGAGATGCATGATTATAAAGTAAATAAAGCTTATTGTTAAAGTTTCCATGTTGATGCCTGATTCTTTCTTAAGTGGGGCAAAGGGAGGGAAGGCAGCTAGCTTCATAGCTGGACTTGCTCAAAAGAAGGTTTTGCAGCCTGATTCCTATCCTTTTAAGTTTGCTGTCATTTTAAAACTCTGTTTTTAAAGAACCAGATGGCAACCCTTCTTCAGGTATACTGGACCCACACTGTGAATTGTGCTCACAAACGTACTGGGAGCCATCGTTGATCCTTTAGGACCGGTGTTCTATGGTCCCAGCAGCTGCTCCCAGTCCCCAATCCAGCTGTCGCTAGCTCCTCTCAGATATGCCCGAGCCAATCTGATCTGAGGGGAATCCCTTCCTGTCCTCCAATATATGGTCTTCTGTTAGAGCGTCAGCAGGACCAAACCCCATCTCCCAGGCGCCCCCCTTGAAGGCAAGGCACAATCCTGGGACACTCAACACCCAACGGTTCTCCATTCCCAAGCCACGGGGTCCCTCCCCAACTCACGAACGGGGCATCTGAGCTCCTCCTTCCTTCCTGGTTCCTCCTCATGACGGATTTCCTAGGACTCCACGGATCTCTGCTAATGGGAGATGTTCCCAGAGCGCCTAACAAACTACAGTTCCCAGGATCTTTGGGGGAAGACATCTGCTTTTTAGAACAGGCGCTTCAGGTTACAGACTCCACTAACCCAGAAATAGTACCTTGGGTTAAGAACTTTGCTTCAGGACGAGAACAGAAATTGCATGGTGGCTGTGTGGCAGCAGTGGGAGGCCCCATTAGCTAAAGTGGTACCTCAGGTTAAGAACAGTCTCCGGTTAAGAATGTACTTCCAGAACGAATTAAGTCCTTAACCCAAGGTACCACTGTACTACTACTACTACTACTACTAATAATAATAATAATAATAATAATAATAGTTATTTATACCCCGCCCATCTTCCTGGGTTGCCCCAGCCACTCTGAGGTAGATGGAGCAATCTAGGGTCTAAATCCCCTTCCTGTGTTTCTGTTTGGGAGGGGCTGTGGCTCAGTGGCAAAGCATCTTCTGGGCACCCAGAAGGGCTTGGACTCAACTCCCTCCTTGGCTTCAGGTGTGGGGATGAGAAGGCCCAGCTTGTGGGTTTGATCCCCATCTGGCACAGCTGCATCTTCCTGCATGGCAAGGGGTTGGACTAGATGACCCTCAAGGTCCCTTCCTGCTCTGTGATTCTTTGAGTCTAAGGAGGCAAGAAGCATTGTCACTCCCGCTGTGCTAACCCAACACAGGCGCAGAGAGAGACAGATTGAAGCTCGGCCACAAAGTGTTAAGTCGCCAGAGGTGAATATGCAGGAAAGTGCCTGGCCCTTTGCCTGGCAGAAGACCTCACCCACTGGGCTGCATAGACAGCTGCCTCAGGAGCCAGATCCCGGTCCCGGGAGCTCCAGACTGCCTTCCTCTGGCCTGGCTGGCAGCAGCTCACCTGGAAATCAGAGTTTCCCCAAGCCTCACCTGGAGATGCTGAGGACTGACCCTGTGGGCTTCCACCGGCGCTGAGCTATGGCCTAAAAAGGCCCCTGGGTGGGTCCATCCTTGGTCTATCTAGGCCAGGCTGGGAGCAACTGCTACCTGCCACCCTTTGGGGAACCTGACGCCCAGCGTAAATTAATAACGCAGAGTCGTCTTCAGTAAAAGAATCAAAACTTTACTGAGTTAAAAATAAACCTGTTTGCAAATAACAGCATCGTGAACATGTAGCCTTATGAGGCTTTGCCCTTGGGTGGGAAAAATATTGCGCCTGGGAAAGGGAAGTGGGAGTCAAGACACTCAAGGAATAGTTTCGGAGAAAAGGCTTTTTTATTTCTACCATCCATGAACTGGTAGAAGGAGCAAGTGTGATAAGTCACAAAAAGCATGCACGAAGTTCACAGTCATGTGCACAAGCATATATACCCCTTTCCAGTTCCCTCCTCCTTTCTCCTCCCTCAGGAGTCCTGCCCCATGATGTGTTCCCCTGAGCATGTACAGAAAGCTGTCTTGGAACTATTGTGGACTCTTGGCAGGAAAGGGGGTGAGGGGGTTTCAGTGTGTTCCAGTTGTTTCATTCTTGTGCTTTGGCATGGTTCCCGGACAGAAACCAAGTTGCAATGTGGTTCTTTAGCAAGGCCAGAAGGCATGAGAAAGGCCTGAGAAACAATGGACTGTGTTCCCTACCTTTGTTGCAATCTTTTTAGTTACAGCAAGCAGAATGTTTCTGATGCTTAGCTAATGCCTTTTAGCTGCTGAGAAAAATGATTTTTAAAAGCTCTGAGAAGCTTTGAGCCTGCTTTGGTGGGGGGTGACTTCGGGCCTAGGTGAGGTCACCTGTCCTCACCTTACTTCAAACAGAAGATTGAACTAGCTTCAGAGCATACACAGAGTTACTGAGTCACACAGAGGCATTTGTCTCCATTGAGCACAGGCTTCCCAGAGCTCAGGCTCCATCACACACTCTGAGTCTGCCTGCAAGCAGATACTGTACTTATACAGAGAAGGAGTCATCCTCAAGATGAGTCACAGTGATCAGCATGCTGAATGATTCTGCAGCTTTCCAGCACTTCACAACATTTCTAGACTCCTTTACTGCTTCTGATATCAAATACTTTGTTACACGATAGAACCATTGCCAGGCAGTTGACAGCTTGGATGAGCAGCCCAAGGCCCACAACCAAATTCTGTGCATCGGGAATCGGCAAAAAGATTTTGTAGGATTAATCCCAAATGCGTAAGACTTTATGAATCATCAACCCCATACGCTGATATCAGAAGAGCAACACAGTGAGCTTGGTTCTGCTCAGGGCCGTCTTAATTATATCCTGCACCATGGTGCAAAGATTCCTCTGGCGCCCTCCCTCCCCGTTTCCCAGAGTTGCCGACATTTACGGCGCTGCTTCAGCGAGGCGGGCGAGGGCAGCTGATGGCGGGAGGCACCACGTCCAGCCTCAGTCTCCTCCCTGGCGCTCTCCAGAACTTGGCGCCCTGGCGCCCTGCGCCACTTGCCTCTATGCGCAAGATGCCCCTGGTTTTGCTTATTCTTAATTGGGAGAGTTCTTGGTGTTTAGCACAACTGTGGGGCTGTGAAAATTTCACTCTGTGTGTTTTGTTCCCTTTTTGTTAGTTATTCCCCTTGCAGAAGAAGAAGAGGAGGGTAGGGCTCTTCATCTCCCTGCCCATCCCTTTCCCCACAGAAGCAGCCTGAAGGTAGCAATTGTGAGTCACAATGATAGGAAAAGGTACAAGCTGGCTTCAGTGGTGTTATATACTGAAGTTCTCACCCTGGGCCAGCAGGGGGATACTGTAGGTAGTTATGCAAATGAAGGATCGAAAGTGACGTTCAGTGATTGGATAGTTTTAGAAAGTTGCTACAGTAACGTTGTACTGGAGCTCTATATAAGCAGGCTGACTGAGCCCTTCAGCTCAGTTCTGTTCTGGCCTCTGAATAAACAAGAGCTGTTTGAAGAATCGCTGTGTCCTCTGATATGTTCACCCACAACAAGTGGGGCAGAACTAACCACCTAGAATGTATTTGGAAAATATATGTGAAGATGCCCTCCTGTTGCTGATTGCTAGTGTGCCCTGGTGCCCATGCAGAGCAGTAAGAAGGAAACAGATCCTGGGACAGATTTTTCTTTACTTTCTTCCTGCTCCTGGTGGTCCAACCCTTAAATGAGTGATGGGAAGCAGTCTCTCTTCAGGGCGAGGCATTTATCCCTGCAGGATGCAACTTAGAGGGTCATCGCAGCCCCTCAGATGCAGGCCATTCACAGCATTTGTATGAGAATCAAAGAACAGTAGAGTTGGAGGGGACACTGGGGGTCATCTAGTCCAGCCCCCTGCATTGCAGGAATCTTTTGCCCAGCGTGGGGCTTGTGCATTGCAGGGGGTTGGACTAGGTGATCCTTATGGTCTCTTCCAGCTTTACAATTCTTGGATCCCTTCTATGCCCATATACTCGGAGACTAAAGGTTTAGTTGTACCTGGTTCTTTCCGGTCCGATTTTCCCCACGCGGTTCTGACCAGCTCTAGAGTGGACTCCCTTCTTTCACTCCCAGACACTTTTCAAAAGTTGTTCCACTAATTCTTTGAATTCTCTCTCCTTATTGGGATTTAATTTGGGAAGTTTTCTCACTCCGGGGACAGTCTTAGAGGCTGTGTGCTGATGAGCTGATCTCTCCCCCTGCTGCCACGGCCCGTTTCCCAAATTGAGACAGCCTAAACTCTTCAGAGCTTGGGTTGCCCCAGC